CGAGAGAGCCCATTGATGGTGGTTTGGTCTCCAAGTGGGAGATTGTTGGTCTTGAGAGTGGAGACCCAAACTTAGAATTAAAATCAACAATCGAATGAAAATTTAAGACATGCCATGAGTGTGGTGTTTGCCACACCCTGGTGTGGCAGAATCTGCCCTGTCTGTCATGGGTGTGGTGTCTGTCACACACTGGTGTGGCAGAGTCTGTCCTGTCTGTCATGGGTGTGGTGTCTGCCACACAAGGGTGTGGCAGACACGTTTTAGAATTCTAATCTGTTTAGGATTGTGTTTGTTATAAATAGAAACACGTCCCTCAAGGGTTTAAGAGAGAAAAAGAGCATGAAAAAAGAGGGTTTTGAGGGCTCTTTGAGATTGGAAATTTTAGAGAGAGGCCAATTACAAGCATTGTAATCTTCTTCAAGTAATTAAAGAATTGTGTGGTGTGGCTCCCGAGGATGTAGGCACGTTGCCGAACCTTGTTAAATCTGGTGTGTTCTTTCTTGTTCTTATTTCCTACAAGTTTTTATCTTTGATTTGTGGTGAATTTTTTTCTTGCTCAACTTTCAAACACAAGATCCGGAAGGGTACAGATTTGATTTGATTGTTTCGAATCCCCAACACCGTCGTCACGTCAGATTTCAAGAAATCCCCCCTGCCACGTAGGATTTTGGTTTCAACCGATTTTCAAATCACATGTTTGTTTCGTTTTGTGATTTAAAGAAATGAGGGTGCCACGCAGGATGCCACGTTAGATTTTTGAGAAAAGTGTTTTCACACCAAAAACCTCTGAAAGCACTATTAAAACAGTGACTATGAATAAAACAGATTATTTAATTGCTGAAAATACTGTTACTATTGCGGCTGATTTCCATTTCCTTTTTTAATGTTCAAATAAATACAAGAAATGAAAATCGGAATACTGTTACTATTGCGGCTGGATTTGTTTCTTATGTAACGTGGCGGTGACGTGACGGTGATTTCATTGCGAAGCAAAAAAAATGCGAGAAATGTCTTGAAATCTCTTGAAATGAGTTGAAATGTGAGTTTTTCATTTCCGATTTTTTTTGGAAAACAACCAAACAGCCCCTAAAAAGATTTGAAATGTAAATTGATTTCATCAAAACAGGTACATGTAAACATAAGAGTATAACTGACATTTCACATCATATAGGAGTAAACTAGAGAGACATCAACTTAAAAGGAATATTCTCCCTAAATCAAACAGTGGAGAGACTAATTTCAAACAACCTCTAAGATTTGCAGAACGTAATGGCAACTTTAACTATTTGAGGAGACCCAACTTCAAAGTTTTAAGGGAAAAATGTGTCCAGGCCCCAAAAACAGAAACTTCATGTGCTGCAGTCCCTCCTAGTTTCCCCCATGTGGTTCAGCCTCTTGAAGTGTGACATTTTGTGCTGCAGTCATTTTTTAACAATTATTACATGCCAACTAAGCTAAAATCCCCAAAATAACCTTATCCTCTCTCCTCAATCATTCAAACCCAGTTCTCTCTCTCTCTCTCTCTCTCTCTCTCCCTCCCTCTCTCTCTCTCTCTCTCTCTCTCTCTCTCCTCTCACTTTAAAAACAAGGGCTTTCTCAAGCTCGTCGCTCTGGCCCTCGCCCTCCTCGCCGTCGCCACCTCCGCCCAGGCTCCCAAGCCTCCCCCGAGTTCGCCGCCGCCTCCCCTTATGCATATTTATATATTCGATTGTAAAGAAAAGTAAGTTCGGTCTTTGATATCAGTTCCTTCTTGAGTTAAAAATGAACAAAAGTGCATACATGTCTATCTGTCTATAAACTTCAGTCCGTATCCTCAAATTTTTCTGGATAGTGCAATGCTACCCTTATGCATATTTATATTTATGCATATTTATATATTAAAGTAAGAAAAATTAGGAAGCAGTACCACATAAGTTTGAGCAAAAACCTCCAACAACGTGGAAGTAACCCTCTCAACATTCTAAAGCATACTGCTGCAACTGTACAACACAAAAACAAAAATAAAAATCTTTTTATTGTGAAATAAAAGGCGCAGACTAATATATTAAGGATAAAGTAAACAAACATGTTTTCGACTATGCTCAGTATTGGGTGAAAAGAGAACGTTGTATATGTGTTAGATAAATTACCATCAATTATTTCCCCACAAAACCACAGATCAATTATTTTTTTCTGTAAAAATCCAAATTAGTGCGTGTTAGTTCTAATATGCACAGTGTTAGTTCTATTCTGTAGCGTGTTAGTTCTAATCTGCACAGTGTTAGTTCTATTCTGTAGAATGTTAGTTCTAATCTGCACAGTGTTAGTTCTATTCTGTAGAGTGTTAGTTCTAATCTGCACAGTGTTAGTTCTATTCTGTAGCGTGTTAGTTCTAATCTGCACAATGTTAGTTCTATTCTGTAGCGTGTTAGTTCTAATCTGCACAATGTTAGTTCTATTCTGTAGAGTGTTAGTTCTAATTTATACCATGTTAGTTCTATTTTATACCGCGTTAGTTCTATTTTATATCAAGTTAGTTCTATTTTATACCACGTTAGTTGTAATTTTAACCATATTAGTTCTAATTTATAACAAGTTAGTTCTAATTTATAACAAATTAGTTCTAATTTTAACCACGTTAGTTCTAATTTATACCACGTTAGTTCTAATTTATACCAAGTTACTTCTAATTTATACAATGTTAGTTCTATTTTATACCAAGTTAGTTCTATTTTATACCACGTTAGTTCTAATTTTAACCATATTAGTTCTAATTTATAACAAGTTAGTTCTAATTTATAACAAATTAGTTCTAATTTTAACCACGTTAGTTCTAATTTATACCACGTTAATAACAATCACGTTAGTTCTAATTTTAACCATATTAGTTCTAATTTATACAATGTTAGTTCTATTTTATACCAAGTTAGTTCTATTTTATACCACGTTAGTTCTAATTTTAACCATATTAGTTCTAATTTATAACAAGTTAGTTCTAATTTATAACAAATTAGTTCTAATTTTAACCATATTAGTTCTAATTTATACCACGTTAGTAACAACCACGTTAGTTCTAATTTTAACCATATTAGTTCTAATTTATAACAAGTTAGTTCTAATTTATAACAAGTACCACAGTGTTAGTTCTATTCTGTAGCGTGTTAGTTCTAATCTGCACAGTGTTAGTTCTATTCTGTCGTGTTGTTACTAACATGGTATAAATTAGAACTAACTTGTTATAAATTAGAACTAACTTGTTATAAATTAGAACTAATATGGTTAAAATTAGAACTAACGTGGTTGTTACTAATGTGGTATAAATTAGAACTAATATGGTTAAAATTAGAACTAATTTGTTATAAATTAGAACTAACTTGTTTTAAATTAGAACTAATATGGTTAAAATTAGAACTAACGTGGTATAAAATAGAACTAACTTGGTATAAAATAGAACTAACATTGTATAAATTAGAACTAATATGGTTAAAATTAGAACTAACGTGGTTGTTACTAACGTGGTATAAATTAGAACTAACGTGGTTAAAATTAGAACTAATTTGTTATAAATTAGAACTAACTTGTTATAAATTAGAACTAATATGGTTAAAATTAGAACTAACGTGGTATAAAATAGAACTAACTTGGTTTAAAATAGAACTAGCATTGTATAAATTAGAACTAACTTGGTATAAATTAGAACTAACGTGGTATAAATTAGAACTAACGTGGTTAAAATTAGAACTAATTTGTTATAAATTAGAACTAACTTGTTATAAATTAGAACTAATATGGTTAAAATTAGAACTAACGTGGTATAAAATAGAACTAACTTGGTATAAAATAGAACTAACGCGGTGTAAAATAGAACTAACGTGGTATAAATTAGAACTAATACTCTACAGAATAGAATTAACACTATACAGATTAGAACTAACACGCTACAGAATAGAACTAACACTGTGCATATTAGAACTAACACGCTACAGAATAGAACTAACACTGTGCAGATTAGAACTAACACGCTACAGAATAGAACTAACACTGTGCAGATTAGAACTAACACGCACTAATTTGGATTTTTACAGAAAATAATAATTGATCTGGGGTTTTGTGGGGGAAATAATTGATGGTAATTTATCTAACACATATACAACGTTCTCTTTTCACCCAATACTGAGCATAGTCGAAAACATGTTTGTTTACTTTATCCTTAATATATTAGTCTGCGCCTTTTTATTTCACAATAAAAAGATTTTTATTTCTCTTTTTGTGTTGTACAGTTGCAGCAGTATGCTTTAGAATGTTGAGAGGGTTACTTCCACGTTGTTGGAGGTTTTTGCTCAAACTTATGTGGTACTGCTTCCTAATTTTTCTTACTGCATATTCAAAATACTAACCCAATTTGTTCATTATTAGATCATATCTATCTAATTCATGGATGTGGTTTGGTACTGTTTACATCCCTTGATTTTCCTTTATTTGTAAAATGGTAGGTTCTGGTTTTATAGATTATGTAATTAAGCACGTATTAGGTTTTCCCTTATTACCTCCATACAAAGTATCTCAGGATCCTGCTAGAGATGTGAACTGGTACATGGATATTCAGTGTCCCTTCATTTAATATATAAATATGCATAAGGGTAGCATTGCACTATCCAGAAAAATTTGAGGATACGGAGAGAGAGAGAGAGAGAGAGAGAGAGAGAGAGAGAACTGGGTTTGAAGGATTGAGGAGAGAGGATAAGGTTATTTTGGGGATTTTAGCTTAGTTGGCATGTAATAATTGTTAAAAAGGGGCTGCAGCACAAAATGTCACACTTCACGGGGCTGAACCATATGAGGGAAACTAGGAGAGGCTGCAGTACATGAAGTTTCTGTTTTTGGGGCATGAACACATTTTCCCCAAGTTTTAAAGAGTCCAGGACCTTATGGAAAAAAAAAAAAACTCATTAAAAAAAAAAAGCGGTGTCGGATCGAAACAAGCTCGACCCGCAACACATTAGCCCATATATCTCAACAAAACCACAGTCTTGCCACCGCTCCCGCTCTCGCTCTCTCTCTCTCTCTCTCTCTCTCGGAGGAAACAAACCAGAGAATGGATCAAACGGAGGCGATCTACGAAACCCTAATCAAGAAAGGATGGAGCTTTCGAGACCCCGAGGAGATCAAACCCCTGATTCAGACCCAAAACTCGCTGGAGTCAACCGAATCCGAGCTCCTCGCAATGGATTTGAGATCCATCGGAGCGAAGTCTCTTCCCGATCCAACGTCCCTGAGGAAATCTTCCCATCTCAGCGGCCCTAAAGTTTTGCAGGTAAATAATATAATTTTTGAAACCCCAGTTGGTTGGTAAGAGATTTTGTTTCTATAATTGGTGCTTGAGTTAATTGCACTTTAAACCCTAAAGTTTGATCATCATTCATTTTTAACAACTAAACCGCTCTACTATTGCTCCCGTCTAACATAAGCAAACGCTGAAAAAAAAGTAAAGGTGGTTCTTCAAGCCACACCTCGTACCCAGAAACACCAACCGAACACGCTTGAGCTTTGCGTGCCAAACAGTGAGCTATGCCATTGCCTTGACGCCTTACTGCCTCAAACTTCCAGCTCGGAAACCACTTGCATTGCCGGTACACGTCCTGTGCAAGATGCACACGTGGAGGAAAAGAAGTTCCATCCTTGCTGGATAGTGGATACCTACGACAACTCGTACAGCATCTCCTTCAAGCCCCCGCAAAATGCTTTGGTACTTCGCATGTCAGCACCACCACTCCCCTTGATGATCAACTTGGATAGTGCCGCGAAAAATTGCCCTTGATGATCACAAATCACCAACCCCCCACTCCTATAGCCCCACAGTCCTCAAACATGGCCCCGTCAAAATTAATTTTCGTCAAACCAGAACACGGTGGCCTCCATTCTCTAGGGATAATCGAGCTTTGAATCCTAGGGGGAGCCTCCTGCGCTCTTTCGAAGTCAACAATGGATTCCCATACAAAACATACCAGCTCCTCCCCGCCCATCCCCTTACCTCGATGCATAGCTTCATTGTGAATATTGCATAATAACCATCACACGACCGCGGCGCCATGCTCAATTGAAATGCCTCATAGTTATGTGTTTCAACTTGATCGCGCCACCACATTGCCATCGTCATTCCTTCCCTCATTGTAAGCTGCAAATTAATTCCCAAAACACTCAACACTAGTCTAGCAAAAGGGCTGCTCCAAAGGACATTGCTAGTTGACTCCTCACTCCCTCAATCCCAACAACCTTCATTTATAACCACTCCTCGTTTACGTAAGGCCTCCTGAACTAGAAGTTTATCATGACAAGCCCTCCGTGAGAAGTGTTCAAACTTCAATTTTTTTTGAAGTTGTATTACCCATAAGGATTTCCAATCTAGAACTGAGCCCGAGATTGTGCCACCTTGCGATTTTGTCTCATGCACGTCTATCCCTCTAGCTGTAATCAAATGATGGGCGCTTCACACTGTGAAAAACCCTTATTTGTGTAATGCTAAATCAACTAGTCCGAGTTAAGACTCCAACCTAAAGGAAGATTGTTAACTTTGTTTTGTGAGGCCGCAGATCAAATCAACCAGCTCATTGTTCCATCTTTGGTAGTCATGCTGGAAAAGTTGGTTTACCGTTGCCTCAAGAGGGAGAGAGTTTACTGGAGTTTGCACTCAGAATGACTATGGCTATGTTAAATATGCCAAAGTTAATAGAGTGTGTGGCTAGAATGACCAATACATGTTTGAATAAAAAGGATGGTAGGAGAGGGGAATGATTCAAGTAAACCAAAGAGGAGGAGATCCATATTTGTTTGGAGTGGAGAATCGAAAGGGAAGGGAAAGCTACATGACCAATATGCCCTTTTGAAGAAATAATATATATTGTACATCTAAATATTCTTTAGTTATTTAAGACCATGTTTGGATCAAGGACTTGTTTTGTCTCGGAATTAATTTAACTCACTGTAGTCGTGGAATAGTTGGAGATACAAGATTACAACACAATAAAAAATATCCACAATGTCACATACAACATAACAATAAATTGTCTAAATATAAATTAGGATCACAAGATCATCTTAGCATTTTACAAGCAATGTTCCGCAAAATAAATAGTGTATTAGCTTAGTTTATTACTTGTGATCTTGTTAATCAATTAACTATATTGTTTGGTAACTATTCACTGTATACTATTTGTTATGCTCTCTTTGTTGGTGTTTTTGAATACAAACGAAAAAAGAAGGAACAAAAGGCAGGCTCATGTTTGATTACAAAAGGCTCAAATCAATAGATTTTTATATTTTGTTTAAGAGAATCAACTACCTTGTGCTTGCAAGTGCCTTTCAAATAAAAAAAATTCCACCAAGCAGCTTCTAGTCTGTGCAAGACTGATGACAGATTGATTTTAATATTTGTGCTAGTTCATTTCAATAAACGTTTTGGTTTAATCGTAATATGTTAATTAATATATTCCAAAGTCACAAGATAATTTTTAAGAAAAGATAAAGGGTACAGGTGCCATTTTGAGTTTAATCCTGAGTGAGAAATAGTTGCTTGACTACAATAATACCCTCGACCTTTGTTTTGTCCGGAAAGTCCGTACGGTTTCATTTTAATGAACTACATAGTCCACCCTAAGCCCCTTTAAAATTTGAACGAAACATAGTATTATCTAAATTAAGAGATAAAGACTTATTACCTAGGTTACACGAACACTTCGTCTAGGCTCTTGTGTCTGTGTTTGACACTTCCCATGTCTGTGTTCGTGTCGGACATTCCTTGGACATTTCTTGACTATATGCATGCAATTATTTAGATGTGTACTCAATTATATATCACATATTTTAGTTTACATTTCTTGAACATATATTATACACTTTACCTCAAATTTGTGCAACTCGTTGGATCTGAGACATGTTCGTTCTAGCGCGTATATAGTTCGTAAGTATGATTTTAGAGAGTTGTTTGTGTATCTAGTTCAAAAACGAGCAGTTTTCCATTTTATAATGTACTTAATAAAAAAACATAAAAAATAGTATAAGGATTTTAGTTCTCATAATAGGTATTTATGTCAAGTGATCACACAGTCAGTTGTATCTGTGGTTGGATGAGGTTGTTCAATATTGATGAAGGACTGCTTTCTTCCACGACTTTATGTCCGGTTCTTGAGTTGGGTTGCTGAAAAGCCTGCACATGTAGGAATTAGTGAGAGGATGGGGCTTGGATCCCCCATGGTCCTCCGACGGTCAAGTCAGCTAATGAACTTGAGTGAGGAAAAATAAACTGTGTGAGTTCTTGTATGTGTACAGTGTCTCTGCTTAAAGATTAGATCAGAAAAGATCCAAAGATCCAAGATTTTTAAGATCATCCAGATCCCTGTTATGTTCGAATAGTACCTGTGTCGACCGAGCACAAAGATGATGGTGTTGAAGTGTGGGCTGACAGCTGAGTCAACATCTACTTTACATGTGTCGACTGACGAGTGGGAGAGTGATCACTTCAATATTAAACAAGAAGTGATTGGCAGCATGACAATGTCCACGTGGTCAGATGAGTCATGAAGGCTATCGGGCCAGAGGCATGATACGCCTGTCATGTATTAAATGTAATGTTGACATGTCGCTAGCGGGAAAGGCTCGAGGTAGAAGTTGTTCTTTAACTTCACCGAGAAGTAACGCCTTTCGAGTTGTCTTCGTGAGGCGTCAAGTATTTGGTCGAGTGGGCTCATGGCGAGTCGTCTTCGACAAGAGGGTCGACTGGTACCGTCTTTCGAGTCGATATTAAGGAATATCGACTCGACGAGTCGGCTAAGTCGGACTCCTCGCTGGTCTCTGGCCGCCAACTTGATTGGGGCATTGCATGCATAAGTACACATGTCCGTTACTTGGCAATGAGTTGCACTTTGGCAAATGGGAGCACCATAACAATAGATGAATGAAAAATAATATCAATCTTACATAGATTATTTAACTTAAAAACTTGTGTATATAGCCGTGTCCTATTATCCTAACTTTTACAGTTTTACTGTGGCCTGTAGGCCGTATCCGTACCCGTGTCCATGTTTGCACCCGTATCCATGCAACATAGCTTATTACCAAGTAACAATATCCAATCCAAACACACCCTAAGGACAATATTGGAGTGGTGTCTCCCTTCCTAATCCCTCCACTTTAGGAGTGTTAAATAAGGGAGTGAATTTGCTTTGTTTTTACCCTCCCTTCCCCTTAATTAAAAATTATAAATGAACACGTATTTGGATGGTTAACGTCCTAAGTTCCTAACATCACCTCTTGAAAAAATCTATCCAAACTTAGCGTAATATTTCTTAAATTACCATTTTATAGTGCATGTTGTTAAATGGGGGTTATTTTTGCCATATTCCACTTACCTGTATTTGGGGAAATAAAGAAATGGATATATAATTACAATTTAAATGGATTTAGGGTTCGATAGCTCAGAGAGGGAAAAAGAGATTCAAGGAGATTTTATTTTTAGTCTAGAGTATAAAAAGTACAAATATTATCATGTGATAGTCACTTGATGCATTTTATACATAATTCTTAATGGTGGTGTAGACGAAGGTATCAAAGTTAAAAGTGGCTAAACTTTGAGGTATTTGTTGGAAAAAACAACAACTTCAGAATATCAAAGATAAAAATTAGTGAAACTTTAGGATGTTAAATTATAACCATTCTTATTTTGGCTATAATCTTAGAAGTAAAAATCAAAGGATTCACGAACAAGATGTAATATTGGTTCAAATATCATCATTATCCTAGAGTATTAGATATTCAGAAAATTAATAAACTTTGTCAATCCCACGTTAAACAAATGGGTTGCATCTACATTTTAAGCTGTCCTGTACTAGTGGCTTAGTCAAGAGTTAGAGCTTGATTTTTTTTTTTTTTTTTTGGGGGGGGGGGTGGGGCACTCTCTAACCTGTCTTATAGGAAGTTAGCAACTACAGTCGGATATACTTCTAATTTCTAGTTAAATACACTTGAAAGAATCTGAGTATTATTTGAAGGCACGGGTCAGTGTGCAACTTCTGTCAAAGAGTTGTTTGAACTATGAGACAAAGCGTAATGATTGGGTGGAAACAAAAAAAAAAAAAAAAACTTAACAAATAATTTGTTAATTGTCCTAATATTTATTCAGGTATATTCAATTCGATAGTTCATTTAACAATGAACAAATAGTTTTGAATATTCAGATTCATAGCAAACAAAACTTAATAATCATAAGCAAACAAAACAAACTGCATATTCAATTTGTTTGTTTAATATTTGTATTCAACCTATTTACATTTTCTACTTAATATTCAAATTAAAGATCTATACATCATAAATTATAAGTAGTAGTTTGAAATTGTGAATTTAAATACTATCTGAGAATCAAATTGTTTAGAAAAAAATAAAGTTTTTCTTTCACCAAATGAAAGTATCCTCTAGTTAAATAGTTTAATAATAAAAAGTAAAAATCATGAGTGAAATTAATATACTCTGAAATTTGATAAGCATACTGAATATTTGAGTTCAAAATAAATATGGAAATAGATATTTGGATTCAAGTTTGAAATTTTTAAAGAAATAAAAATATGAACATCTTAGGTTTTCGGTTCTAGCCCTAATGTGATCTCATTTTGGATTGCTTCTGTGCATATATATTGTTATAATTTTTGATAGTTGGGGTCTTTACACGAAGATGCTTTAAACGGGTGGTGTTCCTGAGAAAGTATCAATCACTAGAGAATATCTAAAACTAAATTATCATAGTTTTGATAGCAATTCACAATAACCCAGCAAATTTAATAATTAGTCAAGAGAATGCCCACAAAAGGTACTCAATGTTGTGCATTATCGAGAAGGTATTATTTTGAGTTGTGGATTAATTGATTGCTATTCCAAGCAGTCTCGCCCCCCTCCCTCCACTCCTATCTTGCATCATCATAATTTGTTTCCCCCCTCGCTTGTGTTTTTTTTTTCCTTTTTACATTGCCACTGCTTGTTTTTGCAGACTGCAGGGTAACATAAATTTTCTTGTAACTTCATATGTTTTTATATGTATCTTATATTTTTGTCTGATATGCGTAAGACTTGAAAGTATTGACTTCATACATTTTTGTATATATCATCCGAAACATTTGATTCAATGATGACTGCATACCATTAAAATAATTTAAATCTTAACACGGAAATATATGTAAACTTTATTTAGGTTCTTCTTACATGTGCTTATATATAAGAGACTTGTTCTGAGTGATGCGTAGTATAAATGGTTGTAATTTGCCATATTTGATCTGTCTCATTCTGAGTGATGCGTAGTATAAACGGTTGTAATTTGCCACCCCCTGCCACTGCCACACATGGAAAGAAAATTCCTGGCTATGCCACTGACTGCTTCAATCTCAAAATTTTAAATTGTCTAGCAACTTTGCAATATGTTATTTTTTTCTGGCTTATGGTTTTATTGTTCATCACAACTTAAGTTGACATAATTTTTTATATATCTTATATTTGTATTTGATACATGTAAAACTTTAATATTCAGATTTTTGTGAAGCATTTGAGTGATGGATTGCTGTGTTTTCCCAGTTGGTTTCTCTACGAGATATATACAAGAGCAGCATTGACGCTTCGTTCAAGAATTCACAACGCCGTTTACTTAGATTTGTTCTCACTGATGGGCAATCAGATGTAACTGCCATAGAGTATGCTCCGATTCCATCAATCAGTGAAGAGATTCCTCCTGGCACAAAGGTTTGCTTTCCAACAATATCTTTGAAATATTTATGTTTATTATGTGAAAGAAAGATGTTATACTGTGCTAATATGCATATTATACCTGTCCTTTTATTGTTGTTGTACAACGAGGATAACACCCTTAACTTCTGTTAAGGCAAGTTAAATTAATTAAAACAAATCTTTCCGTAACCAACTTGCTCATATTCTTACACTAACAGCATCTGGTCCCTTCTTTTTAGTTGCTACTATGTTCATATTGATGTAAAATATTTTAGATTCAGAAGCGTTTTAATGCTAAAAATTCTTTTGGTAAGTTACAAGCACTAACGACTATTTTTAATTATATGTGGCAACAAAGTAAAACTTCAGCTAATATTTTCTGTAGGCATAGCTACTGAACTTTTCTAACCTACCAAACTTTGTTACACTATCGTTTATTACGATGCACATGTCATATCAGATTACTGTACCCTCTTGAATTTTTTTCCTTTTCTTTTTTCTCTTACAACAGATTTGTTTGGAAAATAAAGTCTCTGTACGTAACGGTATACTATGTTTAAGTCCTAAAGTAGTGACCATAGTGGGAGGTATTGTACCATCTCTTTATGAAGAGTGGCAAATGAGTCAGAAATATTCTGGCTTCTCACGCTCGTCCTTGAGACTCTCTCAGAATGAGAATGGGGTTGGTCCTCCTGCATTTGAGAAGTTACAAGTTGAATCACATCGTCATCAAGCTGTTCAGCAACATGGCTCACATGGTAATCTGTTTTCTATATGCTTAACATAGTTCACTCTAAATCTGAATTAGTACTTTCACATTCATACTACTTGTTGTGATTTCATTAGACACCTTCCTGTTGATACTGGATTGTCTTACTGGTGTGAATGCTGTAGTATGCAAGTCACGCTGGATGCTTGAAAATGATTTTTTCAGCAAAAAAGAAAAAAAATCATTTTGATTAAGCCTCTTAACATTGTCGAATGACATTTTGTGCAGGCTAGATGCAAATTACATAAATCATGTGTGGGTTATAAACATTGTTATAAATAGCTATAAATAGCACCACAATAGTGGCGCTAATAACGTTAGTGGTCCCTTCCCGCTACGCTATTGCCCAATAACGGCGACATATTATAGAATATGCTCTTTTCGCTCACAAAAGCGGTGAATAGCTCACCATAGTGATGAATAGCAGGCGATTGTGGGCACAATCCTCTTTTTGACCGATATTTAAAAGCGATTTGGGGTTTATATTTTTTAAATTAAACATGACCCGCAACCACTGCATCCCACCACCTCCCGCGATTTTTGACATATTCCCGCCGCCTCCCACAGCCTCTAGCACCTCCCTCAGCACTTCCCCTCACTTGCATGAGCTCCTCCTAATGTAGTCCTTTCGCTGCTGAGTTTATCTTCTTGAAGACGACGACTCTTTGACTCCTCTAGTCTTCTTCGGTATTATGTGACGGCTACATGTTTATTTTATATTTAGGATATCTTTGAATCATCCAATACTTACGTTTAGATTTTCTAAATTTTAATTTTATTTTTTTTGAATATTTGTATATTAAAATTAGACCGCTATTTGACTTCATGCTTTTTTACCGCTATTTTGCCGTAATAGCTCCAAATAGCCTTAGCGATGCGTCACCACTATACAACGCTATCCATTATTGATAACCTTATAAATTTCATAGAATGCATGCAAAATTCCCATTATTCTTCTTTTTAGAGTTTAATTTTTATTCCACGATGTATTTATTAACAATACAATGCATGTAACTTTCCCTCTTTTACAACAGGAGGTTAAAAACAAGGACTAGTAGGTGTTTCAAGTTCCAACCACATTACGTAGGCAGCCTTCTAATCTAGCTTAAAAAGCCTCTTCTCTCTCTCCATCTACCTTCCTCAGCCTGCATCACCCCATCCCACCTAATGTCAATTTAGGCGTGTTATAAATATTTGTAATTTCTCTTTTTGAGTGGTTTTGTTACTAGAAAGACATGTTCTCTTCATCGGTTAATATGTTGTTGTCAAAGGCTCACAGCAAAAGTTATTATATGCAAATAACTTATGGCCAAATTAAGTTTTTATTCATGTGTCTCCCTTGCATTGAATAGTCTCAATGCTACGGAACCTACTCAAACTTGGAGCTATTGGCTTCCAAACCCTTCTGACAAATTAGAATCCGCATATTGTTTCCTCACTGACCTCTGCTAATCTTCATCATCAATGCTTTATACATCCCCGTGCTATTATGTTTTTCCCATTTTGCAATCAACCAGTGAAAGCGATTCATTTTTCAACTATTATCTCAATCTGTCAACTTTTGATAAACAACACTAATTTCTATGCATATTGAAATAGATGTCATTTTGTCAACATTGTTATCATCTAACATGTTCAAAATGTAATCAGTTTTGCAATTTTTTTTATGCACGCTAAGATAAGAGGCAATAGGAGCATTTTCTGTTGTGTGTTTGACTTCACATGTGCCTTAAAGCTGAATGTGATTCTCTGCAGCTAAGTTTGTTGTCTTTCAAGCGTCAAGCTTTGGTGAGATTCTACATGTTTCCAACTGAAAGTCGCTTGTTCACAGAATGCAGATGGACCCTCCCAAGCCCACCATGTTTAATTTGATCACCATATCAACATTACTGGTTGTCTTCTTTCTTGGATTAAAAAATTCTAGAATTATCACCATGTCCCATTGATCCAAAAGCCTCACCAAAACTGTTTAGTGCCGCATTCCATCATGAGACAAATAGCTCCACAAGATCATCAGGACTCCTAGCTCACATTACGTCCTCCATCAAATCTTCTTCTTAAAGTGGAATTGCCTTGATTATCGATGACTGTAGTCATTCATAACAAGTTTTTAACTTAGCGAAAATTGGTTTCCATAATTTTTAATACAAGCCCACATGTACGAACAAAAACTTAAAAAAATAATACTTTGGTGGATCCCTATGTTCCAAGTTTCCAACTGAAAGTCCTGTGGATGGCCTTCCAGAACCTCACCGAGTTCAACCACAATCTCTACTTGTCTACTTCGTAATCCTACCAAAAATTCCACAAGTATCACCCTGCTGCATTTAGCCAAAAGCCACAGACCTATCAAGTATAACATCGCCTCAAGACTCGTTTATATCAGTCATGAGGGCTCCCAGCCCACATTGTGGCCTGAATCAGTTCTTCTTAAATTGGAATTCTATAGTAATTAATGATGTTCTTATTCTTAATAAAGTTTTGGTTAGGTTTTTCTTAGATATTCGTTCTCAAATCTAACATATTTTTAAATAAGTGCCGCGATCTCATATATTTTAAATAACCCCCAAAATATATAAGTTCTCTTAAATAAGTCTCCCAAGTCTCATATACTTTAAATAAACCCCCTAAGTCTTTTAAGTTGTCTTAAATGACTACCCCCACATAAAAAATTGTCAACTTAAATGAGTTAACTAAATTTCACTCATCTTGTCTGTCTTTTCTGTTTTCCCCCATTTTTTCTTGATATTTTCATCCATAAACCCCTCGAGCTGTTTCTTTCCACAATTGCTATTTGTTGAGAAATCACTACTGCAATTCGTTGCAGGTATTAGGCAAAACTATATGGGGAAGATGAGGGCAGAACTAACAACATTAATATGGTTTAGTTAATTTGGAGTTAATTAGCAGTTTTGAACCTGAAGGGACTTATTTAAGAGAATTTAAAGATTTGGGGGACTTATTTAAAGTATAAGAGGTTTGGGGAACTTATTTAGAAATATGTTAGATTTGGGGAACCAATATAAGAAAAGCGCTTTAATTGAAGCAGATGTTTTTGCGCAATTCTCAAATTCAAACCCATATATTAATTTTTAGAATATAAAAATATAATCCTCAACTCTCACCATAACTTCAAAGTTTTGGTGTAATGATTAGGGTGACTCAATTTAAGATGGTTCTGGAGCAACCCAGGTTCCAATCCACTGGCCGCGAATGTGAAGCGGGTTTTCTAAAAGTGGACTTTGCTGTGTGAGTCCAGGTTTCAGCCATAAAAAGGGCACTCAACCTGCGAGGCCATATTTGAATAAAATATAATCCTCAGCTCGCACCATAATGGTTAGAGGGACTCGGTTTAAGATAGATAACCAAAAAGAAAACATCAATTTTTATTGTATTTATTCATCGAGTAATTGGTCAACAGTTAGATCTGGTCTAATCTCACTTAAATTTGTCATGATGTTACCTCCAGTAGTTCTGCTTGAGACGACTTCAAAATATCCTTCTAATAGACAAACGGGAGGGCACCAAGGATGTGGTTCTAATGACCCAAAGGCAGATAAAGCTTCTGAAGATGCAAAGACAGAGCAGGCTGTTGATGATCCTAAACCAGTGTCCTCAGGTAACAAGGCTGAAGAAAAACCTTGCACCTCAGAGGCCAGGCCAAAGGAAGGTATCCCATCTACTTTTTCTTAAACATAATACAGTGTTTGTTTTTGTTATTAAGCTAATACCGTAGTTATCATTTCTGCATGAAGTGAGTGAAGCTGTTCCTGTTCAAAACCAAGCTGCTGCACAGAAACTTCTGCAGAAAATGGCTCAGCCAGCACAGGGAGACAGGAACTATAGGGGTCATAGAAACAAATTCAAAGGCAAGCAAGAAGAGACTCAAGTTTTCACCTTAGAAGAATGGGAAAGAAGAAAAGGCAACAATTTGAAGCCCATAATGGCTGTTCACTCCCAAGATATTACCCAGGATGAGGAGTTTGCTCGCCAGTTGCAGAACCAATTAGATATCGAAGATTTCCATGTTAGTTTATTGGGTAAATTGCAGATAAACCCCCATCTATGCTTCAGTAGCATTTATTACCCTCAACTCTTTTATTAGCACTAATCATGGATTAATACTTTGAGAAGGATGAATTCTAGATCACCCCCTCTTCTCCCTCATGAATTGAGAGGGGTAGGTGCTAATAATGAGTTGCGGAGTGATAAGGGCTACTGAAGGTATAGATGAGTATTTGCAAATTACCCTAGTTTCTTTTCTGGCACCTGATGGCCATTGAAACCCTGTTGAAGTTTTCAAAGAGTTTAATGTTAGCACACTATATTGTTTATTTGCTTGCAATGGATATAGGTAGAACCAATGTACACAGAGGCAGAGAAGATAAGGATGAGCATGTTCAGCTTTGGTGGACCAGATGAAAGCAGGAGTGATGGCAGAAAAGAATTCAGAGGGAGGGGAAGAGGAAGAGGGCGAGGAAGGAGGGGAAGAGGAAGATTCAGCTGACTTGGCAGCAGTTATTTATTGGGAATAATTTACTTATGCTATCAGGTATAAATTTCAGCTTTCTGTATTATGGGTTGTGATTTCAGCACTTGAAAATAATTGCATTTATTTTCCTCTATGAATTGTTAGTCATAAGAAATGTACCTTTATGAAAGCCTAACAACTAGTACATTGTTAACAATAGAATCTATCTAATATTTTTACCATCATAGTAGTTGGAGTTGCTGTTAGAAACAGTGGCGGAGCCACGAATTCTGACAAGGGGGTTCCAAAAAATAATTAAACCCTCATCCATGGAGGAAGAAAATACTCAACCTCTTTTGAGAAGTCATTCCATAATCCATACTAGTCCCTTAAATCTTTCATATTTTGAAATTAGTCCCTCAAATCATGGAAATTGCTATTAGGTACCCCACATTTTGACTTATTTTGGAATTATTCCCTCCACTCAAGAATATAAATTATGAGAATTGGAGGAAATAATAATCCACAACAATAGATTTTACTTGGTAATCCCTCCAATTGCTACTTCTACTCTTGATTGGAGGGACCAATTTCAAAATAAGTTAAGAATTGAGGGAGGGATCTAATAGCAACATTTGAGGGACTAAATTCAAAATAACCTAGAAATTGAGGTACCTAATAGCAATTTCCATGATTTGAGGCACTAATTTCAAAATAAGCAAGATTAAAGGAACTAATATAAAAAACACAATACCTTTTTTTAAAATAAATTATTGGGTTTTTTTTTGGGGTGGTGGGGTGGGGGGCAGGGTCGTAGTCTGTTACATCTGTAATTCCTATTTACAACGCAAATGATGAATTTACTACAAAGCATATACTGCTTTGATACTATAACATACAACATGTTTTTTCCCGTGAATACCAATCAGGATCCATGTGTCTAGTCCCAGAAGATGCTCGTATCTTATTCTAACAAAGTTGCGTTGGAGTCGGCTTACATTTAGCATTACCCTTTTTTAATCCCAAGAGTTAAACGTAGATGCCAGCTACTCTTCTAGAAGATGTTCATATCTTATTTTACCGAAATTGTGTAGGAGTCGGCGTACATTTAGCATTACCCCATCTATAATCCGAAGAGTTAAAAGTAGATGCCAGCTACTCTCCCTTTTACTAAACCTCCTACTCTTATAATGCTTTTCTTCTTAATTTATGATGAAAGCAGTGATACAACTAGGAGCCACACGTTGTTCAAGTGTGTTATGTGTAAATTTCTCATAACTGTCATGGATTTTGGGTTATTTTGCACAAAACTAACATAAAAGTTTTTTATTGGATGACAACAGCTAGGCTAAGTTGTCACGTTTTATTTTTTGACAAATTTTCGTTTATGTACATTATGTGTCTTCTATATCATCCTTACGAGTTTTGTGGTTGATAGATACAAGGTAGCTTTGACCTTTTATCCAAGACGTTAATGCTGTTAGCAACAATTCCCTTTAGTTCATGAGATTCTTCTGCAGCTGTGAAGTTCATGGTTGTCTTCTCAAACAAAATAGTTTATGGTAATTTTGTACAAAGCTTTCCTAAAGTTTATGGCAACCTTATGAAATTTACAATTTTTATCACAGGTAGAGGTCTTTAATTTCCTTTTCCCCAGGTTTGAGGTATGGTCTCATCTGAGAGAACAAAAAAGTGATACTTGATACTAGCCGAAAGGTAATTGAGAGTGGATGAGAGTGAATCACATACTTTGACCTGCAATTTTTCTTTTTTTCTTCTTCCTCTCATTTCTTTGTTGTTTATGCTTGCTCTGGTTTATTTGATTTCTAGAAACAGACTGGATTGCATAAATGCAATCTCATCCAATCGCTTAAATGCAGTCGCATCCATGAATGCAAGATGTTGGACGATGTTTTCTCTGTTGTCAAGATTGCATTTTTGATTTTTTTTACGACCAGAAGTACTAATGAGATGCAGTTGCTTAGTAGTCCTAGTTTTCTGTTTTCTTCACTTAAATTCTCCATTAAGCTCTTTGGATAATTGGTTCTGTGTATAATATTTGTTTTCAAAACTTTGGGACGAAAACTTTGTTGTTATTGTTGTATGAGCTTTTTATTTTAGTTTGAAATGTTGAAGCAGTTCAGACTTGCTTGTGATTTTGCAGGATTTTAAGTTCACTTGGTTTCCGCTAAGGGGGTGTTTGGTTTGTTTCCTAGATATAGAGAAATGCAATTTCATGTAAAGAAACTCAAGTTTTGAGTTTTCCAAACTTTTTCAAGAAATAGATTGCTTTGGTTGGTTCACATGTAAAATATGATGGGAAAGCAATGTATTTACTTTTCTTGTGTTTGGTTTGCATGAAAAAAAAAGGGAAAACTTTTGTTGATTTGACATTTCCCATACTTTTTTTGTGTTTGGTTGGTTTTGAAGTGGGTTGTTTCCTAGATATAGAGAAATGCAATTTCATGTAAAGAAACTCAAGTTTTGAGTTTTCCAAACTTTTTCAAGAAATAGATTGTTTTGGTTTGGTTCGCATATAAAATATGGTGGGAAACCAATGTATTTATTTTTCTTGTGTTTTGGTTTGGTTCGCATGTAAAAAAGGGAAAACTTTTGTTGATTTGATATTTTTTCATTTTTCTTTTGTTTGGTTGGTTTTGAAGTGGGTAGGAAAAAATATTTATGGTCAACATAATAAGATTATCCCCCACTATAGACAAATTTATTTGTGCTTGTTATAGGAGGTAATCTTAATCATATAAAAGTGCGAATGTAACATGAACATATAATAATATCCTGAATTTATTATAAATTTCTATTTGTGTAAATAAAATCATACGAAACTTGAAATCATATGAATCAATTGTTATGAACTACATACCTGATTTGATCTGAAATACTTGTTTGAGATGGAAAAAAATAACATGAAACCTGTTTTCCAAGAAAAAATAAACGAGACATGTAATAACTGATTATTCATAAATTTATGAAATATACACATAAATTAGCAAAAAATTCTTATGAAACATATAACAAACATATAAATAACTTATTTAGCCATAAATGTGTATATAACATAACAAATCGCATCAAACCTGAAAATTTATGCTTATTGATGAACTTTATGTGCAAAAAATCATTTGAAAATATGTCATGACACCATGTCAAATAAATCAGTCATATGTATATGCGAATTATGGCTGTGGGCTTAGAACTTGTTCAATATCATCATTGTTAGTCATCCAGTGCAATATCAAAAGATATTGTAGGTTGCTAATCTCAGAAAAATTGACAATCATCATAGCCTAGATTGAACACCCACAAACAGTATCGAAATCAACAAATCCAGCTGAATACCTTAACACTAAAAATAGAACTCCAAGTGACTGAACACAAACATAGCACAAACTAGAGCTTCAACATTGTGTTAATGAAAACTTTTCATCATTGTTAGCCAGAACAGAATAGAACCCAATGATAAGTAGGCTGCTGTGCACAAACATGCACACAAAATATGCTCACAAACCTGAGCATATATGAATGAGCAACACCTCTTACAAAACTGGTCATATGTGCACAAAACCTGGTTGAGAACAAACCTGAACAAAACAGCACCAACAATGAACCGACAACACAAAAATTGGTCATATGTACACAAAAACTGAGCACAAATAGTGCACAAAAACTAAGCACCAACCAGCCCAAAAACTAGTCATATGTGCACAAAACCTGGCTGAGAACAAACCTGAACAAACAGCACCAACAACACCAACTAACAGAAAAAAAGCTGGTCATATGTACACAAAAACTGAGCAAAACAATGCACAAAACTGAGCACAAAAAACTGAGCACCAACCAGCCCAAAAACTGGTCATATGCACACAAAAACTGAGCATAAATAGTGCACAAAGCCAACACAAACAGCAACAAACTGAAAACTGAAAACCAGCACAAACAGCTAGCTTGAACAATGTGTGCGCACAAGATTTATGGACATGAACTCAAACTGAAAACCAGCTACAAAGCCAGCACAAACAGCCACAAAGCCAGCACCCAGCCATCCATGAACACCAACCAGCCACAAAGCCACAAACCCAAATAGCACACAAAACCCAACCAGCCAATGAACAAAACTGGCCGAGAACAAAAGCACAACACAACCAGGCTCCACAAAGCATACAAGGCTCCACAAAACATATAGAGGCAACATGTGCCCACAACCAGGCTCACAACCAGCCAGCCAACCAATCAACGAGCCAACAACACAACCAACCAAGCCAACCAACAAGCAAGTGAAATAACATGTGCCTGTTCGGGCTCACAACTAGGCTCACAACTAGCCAACCAAAAACATCAACCAATCAATCAACCAACCAGCCAACCAACATATAGAGGCAACATGTGCCCACAAAAAACCGAGCAGAAAAAAACCCATAAAAACAACATATGCACACCAAACTGAACACAAACAGATAGTAATGGTCACAAAGCAAACCGACAATAGCATATGCACACCAATAACATCAAGTACCTACCAACAACATCAATTAATCAGCAGCTGACTGCTGATTATGGCTGAGGGCTCATAATTTGGTCAATATCATCATTGTTAACCATCCAGTACAATATCAATAGATATTGCAGGTTGCTAATCTCAGATATTATGACAATCATCATAGCCTAAAAGTAAAAAGTCACCAATGTAAACTCGTTTCATGAAAACTTACTACACAAAATACCCAGAGCAATAGTCATTCAGTACAATGTGTGCACATTGTAGGTTGCTTGCATCTTAGGAAATTGTATGGTGACTTATAAATATCCTGGAGTCACAAGTTTAATTTAAAGGTTAGTACACCACAATATTCACACTATGAAAGGTAAAATTACAAAATGAAAGCAAATAACTACTTACTACAATATAAATATAGTATTAGCCATTGTCATACAAGGTTGGTCTTATGAACCTTTACCTTGGCGGATGATGACTTAGCCTTAGAACTTGATGTGTTGGGTGCTTCTTTAGGCGGAGGAGTGTTCTCGTCATCTAAAATGTGTACTTAAGTAGATTGGGGAGAATGCATTGGTGATAAGAAATAATTTCAAAAATGGAAAAGGTTACTGCTCATACAGAAAAGAAAAATAAATAAAAAGAAAGAAAGAATATTTTAAAGATTATTTTGAGTTATTATAATGAGAAATAATTTTAAAGAAATTATTCTGTAAAAGAATTTTTTAAATAAATAAATTTATAATTTTAAAGGATTAGAAATAACTTAAAGGAATTTATTTTGTAAAAGAATTATTTTAAAATATGTGAACATTCATGTGATGTGAACAAATTATAAATTACAAATTACAAATTATAAATTACTAAGGACTGACAAAGTGTACCCAACAAGCTTAGACTCATGGAGACCATTTGAGTCTATTTCAAAATTGTAAAATGTTCTTAAATTATGCATACATGTAAGTATTATAGACAATTTGCATACGCATGAAACAATCATGCAAGAGACAAGTTTTACCTTACCTAATAATCAGAAATTTGCATATGCACGAAAGAAATCATGCAAACCAGTTTCTCCTTACATAATAATCAGAAATTAATCAAATTAAAAATCTCAAAAAATTAGAGCACCCTCCCCCAATTTCTCAAAAAACATCAGACCTGCTAAAACATCAGACCCCCCCTTTCCAATTTCTCAAAAAATCCGACCCCTCTCTCAATTTCTCTAAAATCTCAAAGATCAGATCTGAATAGCGTCGGCAAAGATTAATCAAATACAAAGCTCAGATTTGAATAACGTCGGCAAATATCAGAACCCCCCTCCCAATTTCTTAGAAAATTGCTGTAAATTAAACTAATAATCTAAAAATAAAAAAAGTAATTATTACCTTGATTTTGGAAGCAACAATGTCGGCAAAGATCAGATCCGAACAGCGTCGGCAAAGATTAGACCCCCTCCCCCAGATTTCTTCGAATACAGGTACAAAGAAGGTCGCAAGAGTTTCTAGCGGGAGAGAGCAAGGAGGTAACGATAGCTCACCAAAGAAATCAACGAGAAAGAAAAAAAATCCGACGTGGCCAGGGTTTTCATCGATTTCACTCGGTTGGAGAAGAAAATCAGAGAGGGAAAAAAATCCGAGCTGACGGCGATTTCAACAAAGTTTTTCCTCTTCCACCCGAGCGAACCAAAGCGGCACCAAGAAATGGGCGGAAATAAAAAACCGACGTGGAGGGGTGTCAGGCGCAGAAAAGTGTTTCCACAGGCATTTTAAGCGAACCAAACTGCCCCTAAAAAACAATCGAGTTTCTGAAATGAGTTGAGACTTGGGAGAAGAAATGAGTGGAGTCATCTGCAATTTTCTCATTATTTCTTTTTATCAATGTGGATTAAAATCGTCTTGAGTTAACAAGTTTAGTGCTGTTAATCTGATTAAAGGAGGGACTTCCTTGGTCAAAGCCGTAACTACTTTTTTTTTTTTAAGAAGTCCAATTTGGAGGAGCACGCAGAATCCAAATTAATAAAACTTATTTGGAAGGGTCACTCGCGGATAGACCCCATGCACTTCTCTTGTTGCAGAGAGACCTCACAATGTGTTCTTTTTTTTGACTCTTTTACCCTTAGAGAAAACTAAGAGAAATTTGTTTTTTTGACTAATAAACTCTTAAAAGGGCAAACGCATCAACAAGCTTTCACTCAGGGGGCCTAGTGATAGTAGAGGGGTTCTATCAGCAATTAGCCCTTTAGATAACACTCGAGAAAAAGTTCTCTATTTCACTGTAAGCTAAATGTTATTGCATTCACAATTCAATATACAGGAGCAAGATCAGATAGTACCCTGTGAAAGAATTCATCTGAAAACTAATCAGACAACAGCTAAACCAATCCCTGAGATCACTGTAACTTTCAAAAGTTCTCAGAAAATTATGCACTTCGGCATCACAAATATTTACAGCAGCCCTTTAACCAATCCCCTGCTGGCTGCTATCGGAAATGAAGCACAAATGTGGTAGCAAAACAAGAAAACTGCTATAGTTTTTCGCAGCGTTGATTGTAGGAGTTGCCAGGTCTCCGCTCCTTGCTTGCAGAAAGAACATTCAGTTGTCAGTTCCTGCATGTGCTGAAAAATATCGCATCATTAAGCTCTCGTATGCTTTTTCTGTCACAAGAAGAGAAATTGGAACTTCTGTGCTGAAGTCAGTCCACAAAGGGATAAAAATAAAATATAGAGCATGGTCGTAATCTTAGGTTATATAGTTATAACCCACTTGGGACTATAATCCATCTGCAAATTAACCCAAGCGTATTAAAGTTTTAGGTGTTCAGTAAAGAAGGCGGTTTATAATCCATGTGTTTTTTGCTAAAACAAACAGAAAATCTAGGTGGCTGTGGAAAAGTTATGGGTCTTTTTTGTCTTTTCTCAGTCAAACATGTGGATTATAATCCACCAAAAGAATAACCTAGAAAACCTAAGTTTGCGCTATGTACCTTAACCTTAAACGTTATAGAACCTTTTGAAATAACTCATGCACGTAATAACTCTTAAGTTATTACGATAAAGCATATGTTATTTTCATCAGTATAATGTACGTTCTACTTGCAATATAACCAGTGGGACAGAGCATAGGACCGACTGCCCCCCCGCCCCCCCTTTCGGGCCATAAACCAAGAACTTTTTTTTCTTTTGAAAATGCTACCTATACTACATAGTCTCTAAGAATAAAATGGCTCACTAATAAAGGAGGTGAGAAAAAAATGTGACCCCTACTATACTGCCTATGGTAAATGGAACAAGAACTTTGCTTCGACTACAATAGCCAAAGCCAGCCACAAAAGAATGAGGCAAAAAAACGTGGGTCCCACTGCATATATTACTATTTACTAGGAAAAGGATTTTTTTGGCTTTATTACGCTTAAATACCCATAGTTTCACCTACTTTGCACATATATACCCCCTATCGTATTGGTTGCACTTAAATACCCTTTATGTTTCTAAAAGCCGCACTTTAGTACCCTCGGTTATGCAAATGTGAGAATATCCCCTAAAATTCTCATGTGACACATGCTAATTTTAGAACATTTTACCACTTTTTTTTAATTTATTGTTAAGTTTAAAATCCTATTTAAACCTCGAATTCTATTTTAAAATAGGATTTGATAGATTTAACATTATATTAACAAATAACAAAAGTAAAAAAAGTTCTAAAATTAGCATGTGAGTGTCGCATAAGAATTTTTGAGGAGAAATTCTCATGTTTACACAAGCAAGGATATTAAATTGCAACTTTTAGAAACATAAGGGAATTTATGTGCAGCCAAATACAACTGGGGGCATATATGTTCAAAATAGGTGAAACATTAGGATATTTTTGTGAATTCTATTTTAAAATAGGATTTTGATAGGTTTAATAGTATATTAACAAATAATAAGAGTAAAAATGTTCTAAAATTAGCATGTGGGTGTCGCATAAGAATTTTTGAGGGAAAATTCTCATGTTTACACAAATGAGGATACTAAAGTGCAACTTTTAGAAACTTTAAGAGAACTTAAGCAACTGGGGGCATATATGTGCAAAGTAGGTAAAACATTAGGATAGTTGAGTGAAATTAACCATTTTTTATTACATAGGAAAAGGGATTCCGGAGGTGGTTATAAGCATTTGAGATGCCCTTTATAGCTTTGAACAAAAGAACATGCAAATTTGGTTTAAAGTTAGTATTTTCTTCTCAAATAAATAAAAGGAAATGTATGTATCAATTCTTGGCCCTCCAAAATAAAATTTTTGGCTCCCCTTGAATATAACATGCGTTATTTCAATATAGCTTATGCTATTTCAATATAATATGTAATACGGATTTGAGAGTATCTTCTTTTAAAACCTTGAGAATGTTATTGTTTTCTTTAATGTTTTGTTTATAAATTGAAGTCCTTATACTTTTGAATTGGTTGTTAAGCATTTATGACATAACATGGTTAATAAATTTGATGGTATTTGATAATTATGATGTTATATTTAAAATTTTTGATGATTATATTCATTAAAATCATTGTGAATATTTTGAATTTATTAAATATTTATTTAAATATAAAAATGTCACCTACGTTATACGCTATATTCTTTTGTGTTTTGTTTTAGCTAGAGGCGAGTTTACGTCATTTTCGTTATTTTCAACATTGTTGTGCTATACTTGATTTTCGTACCAAAAAAGAAAAACTTAATTACAATGGTGGCGTTACTTATATTGCAAAGCTTTCAACAGTACAATTCTCCAAAATTGAACTCTTTCTCAACTTTCAGCATAAGGTTATGAGATTTCGTATCTTAGGCATGAAACTTACAATATGCAACCTTTCTAATGTTGGATAAAAATCATAGATACCATTGTTAGTTAAAACTTCTCACCAGTTGGTCCTTTCTCTTCTTTCTAATAATGCATTTAATTTATCAATATCGCTAACAATTTTTCTCTCTAACAAAAATTCCCAGATGTGCAATTATGCATGTGTCAAGCTACATACATGCATGCTAGCAAACAAAGACCAGCCTCTAGCTTAAATGTAATCTTTGATACTCACACCATAAAATCAAATAAAAATTCATTCCAAGAGGTTTTGACGTCTTTTTTCGAATCCAAAACCTACATATGTCTTCAAAACCAGTAGTGTTAATATATTACCGTCTGTTGAAACAATTATAGTCATTAAAATTTAACCTTACAAGTTGATGCTAAATGCAGTAAAATTAGTAAGATCATGTCGAATAAGAATTACTTTCAACAATGAAGTAAGCATTGAAAAGGAAAGTTCACAAATCAAGGAGACACTCTGTTTAAGTCACACACACCCCACCAAAAGAAAATAACCAATAAGATTAAGGATTAATAAAATTTTGGAACCCTGAGGTATGGTTTAATTACATGGATGACCCTAAAGTCTATGTATCTACACGGGTAACTACGAGATTAGTGATTGTATATTATGAGACAAAAAATAAACAGTCACCTGTGTAGTTAAAATTAGTAAGCTTAAGGCTACCCGTGTAACTACACCATGCCTCAGAGAGCCTTCCTAAAATTAATTATAAAAAGGAACAACATTTTTCTCCATTTATTTTCATTTTTTCCCTTTTAAGCAGCAAAATCCAAAAGAACTCAATGTATTGTTAAAGCATACCCAAGTTATTTTCCAATTAGATCCCCCTCTTCTATCCAGCCCACGGACCAGGAGGTGCCTCAGGTGTATGACCTTGCTGAAAATTATGCGCATCGACCTCATAATTATACAAGAAATATTTCAGAAATGTAACATGTACAAAATGGTCCCAAGAGATATAATAAACTAAACATGATCTTACTTTCCATCTAAATCAAGATCATCCGGATATCTTTGGAATATATTCAGACTGGAAAGTAAGAGACCCAAAAGGTTTGAGAAGTCTCTAGTTTGCAGGGTTTTTTTTCCCCCTTTTCAAAACTTAATATGATTTAGAATAACAAATACTAACTTGAAACATTTGTTGGAAGCTCCAGCGGATTCCAGATTGATTGTCAAGTCCATGTGGGTGGTGGATTTGTACTCCAAAGTGGCTACCGATTGACAAGTTTGTTGGGCTAACTTGTTCCTATTAGAATTAAAAGAAAATGATTTAATAATGGAAACAAAGTTTAGGAATATCATGTAATAACATAAAATAGCAGAGTTTGGAATTCACTGTTAGGTTGATGTTTTCTTGTGCCCAGATATGAGGGTCAAATTGAGGAGTATCTGGCGTTATACGAGGCGCGTCATTTTGATCAGCAACCATTGAATTTCTTTGAGAAGCCTGCAATAGAAAATTTTTCAAACCATGATTATCAAAGAGGAAGGAAGAAAGGTGAGTTGATAAATGGGTAAATTTTACAAGGCCCTTCTGAACTTTGGGGATTTTGCACAAAAAAACCCCCTGAACTTTATAGATAATAGAAATCCCCTGAACTTTTGGAAATATACTAAACCCCTTGCGCTATTGGAAATTCTCATAAATGGAGTTAATGGGTAAAGTAAAAAAGAATATAAAATACCATTTTTACTTGTTCCCTACCCTAACCTGCTAGACTCTTCTTGAATTGACTAAAATCAGATTTCAATGTTACCTTCTTCCTGCCACCCTTAACTATTTTTTCTGCTAAAGGTTCTTTTCTCTTTTTTGGTGGCTGACTTTTACGCCTTACTTGAATAATATCAGGAATTCCCTCATCTTCATTTCCCATATTTCTTCCACTAATAGTACTAGGGTTCCTTGGTAGCATGTCACTGATTGTACAATCACTTGAAATAAGTTCCTCTGTCACCTCACCAATCAATTTCAGTGCATATTCATACCGTTCGCCAGAAATAACCCCGAGCTCAACAAATCTAAGGCAACGCCTGTACAAATTGTCATAACGCTCCATCGGCCCATTCGCTATTACATCATTAGAAGAATAATTCATACCATGCCTATGTTTATTGTCCTTCCTCCAGCGGTCAACAATAAACTGTGGTGGAATTTCATAAACCTCAAGAAAGTTGAGCACTGATAGAGTATGTCTACATAATATACCTATGGATTGAAAATAACAGCAAATGCATCGCACATCCTGTTCATTTGAATTGTAAGTAACTTCATAATCCTTTGTTTCCATTTGGTTGCCATCTTTCATCCTCAAGGGTTCTTTGACTTCAAAGGTTGAGACTGGACCATCAACCCTAACCAGAGAGGGAATGCAATATAAAATGGCCTTTATTTCTTCCTGGAATTTTTTAAACATATCAACTGTGTAAATCTTACGCAGTTGATCTTCCATATAAAATTTAGATATCAACTGAGGGCTTTTATTAAAAGAATCAAGGTTGGCTTGGACTTCCTTCTCATACTTACTTTGTAAAATTGTCTCATACTTGCAAACAAACTGCTTCAATGAAGTTTTGGGATAAATATGTCCATCAAAAAATGAAGTTGTGTTCTCCTTATTCTGAGTATTAGACATCCCAGCCCAAAATGCTCCCCTCACAAATACAGGAACCCAATAATGTCGATTTTCATACAGTGAGTTGAGCCATTCATTATCCTCAAGCCCATATGTTTTAATCATATTTCTCCAGTCTTCTTCAAACTCTTCAATTCTAACAGAATCATGGACTGCCCCCTTCATGATTTCTTTAATAGCTTTATATTCAGCATATCCTGCCAAATTTTCTCGGACCCTTTTCATAATATTCCATACACACATACGATGACGAGCACCAGGAAATACCTCTGCAACTGCTTCTTGAATGGCCTTACAATGATCAGTGATAATGGCATTTGGAGGATTTGCTGACATGCAAGATAGCCAAGATTTAAACAACCATCTATAGGTTTCAACACTTCTATCTGAAAGCAACCCACTACCAAATAAGATAGAGTGACCATGGTGATTTGCTCCGACGAAAGAAACAAGAGGTGTCTCATAATTATTCGTCAAATAGTTCGTGTCAAGAGTAACAACATCGCTAAAGTACTGATACTCGGTCTTACACCTTCCATCAGCCCAAAATACATTCTTTAACCGACCATCCTCATCTAAATCCATCAAATAAAAGAAGTTTGTGTTTGTAGACTGCATTCGGCCAAAAAAATGATGAAGAGCTTGTACATCATCTCTCCCTAAAAACAAACGTGTTCCCTTCACAACAGAACTCTCCCCTTCATTCTCAACCGAAGCTAATTCTCTCTGCCCCTTTCCTCTCATCACAGGAAGCTTCTTCCCACCTTCGTTTACACCTCTATGTGACCGAAAGAACTGCGACATTGAAGGATTCACCGGATGATTATGCTCAAGAATAACCTCTGTCAAATGAAACAAGCCATCAGCATATCTCTTTATAACTTTAATCCTTGCCTGGCAATCGGTTCGAGCTGAAAGCTTCAACCGATAAGAACTACATCTTTCTGAGTTCTATACTTCCTACTCCCCTCTTTACAACATGTGAGCCATGAATTTGTTGCATTGACCGTCGTCAAGGCTATACCATGACCTTCTTATCTTCGTACCAAATCCAGTTTTCCGAGCATACTGATTGTAAAAGCCATAAACCTCCTCAAAGGTTTTGAACACCATCCCAACCCGAGGAGTCTCATTGTCGATATCAGGAGCACTTTTGCCCTCATTTTGGTCACAGTGGGATTCAAGCACGGATTCAGCATTAGGACTGGCATCAGTAACTCCGTTCCCTACATTTGGTTCATTCACAGAAACCTCTTGGAGATCTTTCTCCAAAGGGTCTTCTATAAAAGATTCCTCTGCCATACCCTATAAATAAAACAGAAAAAAAACCATTACTAGTTCATTTCGTCGAACTGGGTCATTAGATTGCGCTCATCTGTGAGCTAAAATTCTCTAGAATTCCAAAATTTTACAATGTACTCACAAAGCAAAGTTACAAATTTCCTAATTTACACCTTGCGATGCTTGTTACCAGGGAAATTAACAAAACCCATGTCCAGAAAAGGAAAAAGGTTCCTATACCTACAGAAGATAGAATGAAGTTAAACAATTTTGAGAAAAGGGTCTCTTCAATTTCCAAACCTAAACACTGGAAACAACCAATATCAACATTTACACCTAAATACGCACCACTCAATACCATCATTAAAACAACAACCGTCAAAAAGGTTCAACTGTTACACAATTTCTGGAATTAACTATTAAATTGCACCCAATTGTGACCTCAAAGTCTCGAAAACTGCAGAATTTACTATATAATCACAAAATATTCAGAACCTTGCACTTTTGCAATAACCCATGTCCAGAAAAGAAAAAAGATCCCACTTTTACGGAAGAAAGAATGTTTTGAACAATTTTGAGCAAAGGGTCTCTTCAATTTGTGGAACTGAAGCGAAAAGAAAAGAAAAGAAAAGAAAAGAAAAAGCATACTAAGCATAAGATCCTCACTTCAAACCTAAATTCAAAGGCTTGAAAGGAGCATCAAAGAAACCGTAAAGAGATTGAAAATTGTACCCGAAATAGATAATTTCCCTCCGATAAGTCTCCAGCCTCTCCTCTGAGCTCTTTCAGAGGAGAAACGGGCGAAAGAAAAATTTTTTTTTACCTGAAATAAAAAAGACAGAGAAAAAGGGAGGAGCTGGGGTTTCACCTTAGAATTTAGTCGGACGAGTTTGGTACAACGTGATAGCTCTACGACACGTGTGCGAGGACAATACGCCCCTCTCTGGTATCAGATAAAAATGTTGGGAAAAATCAGGATCATCTCTAGTAAGTGGGTGAATTATTCATATTCTAACGGTTTATTCTGATTCAACCGCTTCAGGCCCGTTTGGATGATGAAAGTATTGTAAGCAAAAAGTAGGTTATAGAAATATCTTTCAAAACTCTGAAGTAAAAATAGTGGAAATAACATTTTTGTTTGTTTGTTTCATATAGTTTTAGAAGTAATGGAAGTAGAACTTCTTCTTCTTTATTTACTTTTTTGTTTGGATAACATTTGAAAATATTACTAGGAAGTAATTAACATATATTGCTTCCACAATTTCAAAGCCACGCCACGCTCTTTAGTTTGATCTAGCACGTTACAACCAATTTCATGCCGCTATGACCATCAGCCACTTGAGAGCAAGAAGAATCCTTCAACCACATAGCTTCAAAATAATTGTTTACCTCTCGCCTACGATGAGACTCCAGATGACCATAAATTCTTATGAATCTCCAATTTTCCTCCTCCCTTGCTCCTTTGATCGTAACATCAACGTGATATTTAGACAAAGAATTAATAGACAGATTGATCTCTTTGTCCCAAAGAAAAGCTGGCCGACGACCATAACAAATTACTACAAAATAATTCAAAGGTTGACTTCTGTGAGCATTGTGTCTTTGGGAAGCAGTGTAGGGTGAAGTTTGGCACTGCGGAGCATCGCACCAAGGGTACGTTGGATTACATCCATTCGAATGTTTAGGGTCCAAGCAAAGTTATGTCTTTGAGTGGAGCTAGGTGGTTCGTGACATTTATCGATGACTTTTCGCGGAGAGTTTGGCTGTACACCATGAATGAGAAATATGAAGTCACCGATTTGTTTATTAGATGGAAGACAATGGTCGAGAAGCAGGCTGACAGGGTTGTAAAGCGGATTCGGTCAGATAACGGGGGTGAGTACACCTCTGATCCGTTTGAAGAGTACTGCCTGAAGCAAGGCATTGTCAGACATTTCACAGTGGTGTGAACACCTCAGCAGAATGGAGTAGCCGAGCATATGAATCACACCCTACTAGAGAGAGCATTGGGCATGTTATCAAATTCTGGTTTGGATAAGTGTTTTTAGGCTGAAGCAATGAACACGGCGTGGTATTTCGTGAATCGTTCATCGAATACATCCATTGATTTGAAGACACCTATTGAAGTATGGTCTGGTACTCTCTTTGATTACAGTCATTTGAAAATCTTTGGTTGCCCTGCTTATTTTCACGTTCAGGAATATAAAATTGGTGTGAGAGCCCGAGAGGGTATCTTTTTGGGTTATCAAAGTGGTGAGAAAGGATACAAATTGTGGTGTCCTGAGTGGAAGAAATGTATAATCAGTCGGGACGTGACATTCAATGAGTCAGTCATGCTAAACTCAAAGAGTGTAGATGTTGGACATATCAGCTCGGATGGAAACACCAGTTTGGGTGGAAACACCAGTTCAGAGGGAATCATGTTGGGTGGAAGTGGTGAAGATCTTTTGGTGGTGGAATTCACAACTCCACCACTGTTTACTGATGAGACAATAGTAGAATTGGAGGTTCTGGATGAGGGGCCTATTCAGCAACAACAACAACCATCATTGGCAGACAATAGAGAGAGAAGACCCAATGTAGGGAAGGCACCAGTTCGTTACGGTTTTGAGGATATGGTAGCATATGCTTTATCTGTGTATGAAGATGAGCTCGTTACCTACAATGAGGCTATGAGAGGTGGTCGTAACGAGGAGTGGATGATGGTTATGAGGGAGGAGATGGAGTCCCTTCATAAAAATCATACTTGGGATTTGGTGGAAGCACCAAATGGGAAGAAGCCGATTGGGTGCAAGTGGGTCTACACGGTGAATGATGGTTTTCCAAGCTCCAGTGGAAGTACAGGTGTACTGTACAAGTCATGATTGATGGCAAAAGGGGGGGGGGGGTTGATTAGGGTCTTAAGGCAATAATTATACAATAAAAATTAAAACAAGCAATACACCACAAAATGAATAATCAAAGTAAATAAGATAGGGTTAGAAATCGTTATCCAAATAACGCGCGATGTGTTAACGAGGTTCGGTCCGCTGACCTACGTCCCCGCTCCCCACTCTCGAGGAGAATCCACTACACAACCCTGTTTGGAAGCTGGAACTTCTTCTACACAACGATCTCCATAAGATCTCACTACCACACAGTTGATCTCCATAAGATCAAGCTCACAACAGTAGTAAATGGTGTAAAATCTCTCTCTTTATAGTAACCCTATGGCAAGGAGAGAGATCACACTTGAAGCTTGGGATGCGAATTTGAAAACAGAGAAAAACAGGATTGAAAGTTCAGCTCTTTTGAAAACAGTAAAACAAAACTCAGGATTTTCAAAATGCTTGGGGCAGCTGAAGAAGAAGGGTATGAGGGGTTTAAATAGGAGAAAACACAGCTGCAAAAACCCATACCCAAATCTCCCCAAATCCCGTAAAAAAGATTTTTGAAATTGTACTGGAAAAGCCCTTTAGGGTGAACGACAGTCGACCGTGGGAATTTCGTGGCCGACCGCGCGAAACTACAGAAACTTATTATGGCTCTGGACTGCAGCCGGTCGACCGTGGCGGTCAACCGCGAAACTCTCTAGACTGGAGCCTCTGAAGAGCATACTGAGTCTCTGAACTGCATCCGGTCGACGTCACGATCAACCGCGAGCCTCAGAAAAATATTCTGAGTCTCTGGACTCAAGGCAGTCCACCGTGGCGGTCGACCGCAAACTGATACATGACAAAATAGTTTTTTAAACAGTTTTTGACTCTTTTAAAAAATCTGTAAAAATACTCAATTGATTTCTAAACATTGTGAAACTTTGTAAAATGTTTTTAATACTAAAAACAAACTGTTTAGAAAAGAAATTTTATGAATAGGTCCTCATACTTGTGAAAATTAATATTTTGACAAAAACGCTCAAAAATATAAGTATGAAAAACGTGTGTGTGATATCCCAATAGCTTCAAATAAAATCTATAACTACTTGCCTACATTCTAGCACTAGAGAGAAAAGAAAAACTAGCAAATATCCTCACATAGAATTACATTTCTTTTGAGTCTTGATATTGCTTAAAGTTGATGAAGCTTTCACTTGTATATGTTGTTCTTGATTAACATTTGCTTCATCACATTACCTCCTCATCCTTTAGATATCTTCGTTGTAGCTCATATTCCATCCAATCCTCCATTTGTTTGTACTAACAAGCTTGATATATATATATATAAACTACAATATCACTCAACAAGCAATTAGTACCGATAATGGTGGTTGTAAATCATCATCAAAACATAAGGGCTAACAATCTCCCCCTTTTTGATGATGATAACCAACCATTATATTGGAACGAAATAAATATAGCTTATAGATAGTAGCTCCCCCTATCTATGAGCTCCCCCTAACTATGTGTAACAAATAAGGAGATTTTTCTCCCCCTTTGTCACCATCAAAATGGGGTAAAAGAAGTGCAAAACAGAATTTTTTTATGCGACAAAAATGCATATGATGTGCAACTAATCCAAGCAAACAAACAAAAACTTTTACATAGTGCATAAACCCAAACAATTTCTTATGCAACAAAAATCATCTTCACTAAGAGGCTTGGTAAAGATGTCCGCTAATTGATATTTAGTGTGAATATAAACAAGGGAAACATCTTGCCTCTCTACATGATCGCATAAGAAATGATGGCGCACATCAATATGCTTGGTTCTAGAGTGCAAAACAGAATTTTTAAAATATTTATAGCACTAGTGTTATCACAAAAGATTTTTATATTTTAAAAATTCAAATCATAGTCAACTAAATTTTGTTTCATCCATAAAACTTGGGCACAACATAAGCCAGCGGCAATGTATTCCGCTTCCGTAGTGGACAAGGCAATACAATTTTATTTCTTGGAAGCCCAAGAGACAAGAGAGTTATCCAAAAATTGATATGTATCACTCGTACTCTTGCGATCTATCTTACATCCGGCAAAGTCGGTATCACAAAAACCATAAAGATCAAAAGAGGTGCTTTTAGGATAAAATAAACCAAGATCAATTGTACCATTGATATATTTAATAATGCATTTAACCGTAATCAAATGGGACGTTTTTGGAGAAGCTTGAAAACGTGCACAAGCACACACACTAAACATGATATCGGGTCTACTAGCGGTAAGATAAAGAAGACTGCCTATCATACCTCGATAGAGTTTTTGGTCTACATCCTCTCTACTATCATCCGCATCAAGCTTGATGCTTGTACTCATGGGAGTTGGTGCATGCTTAGAATTCTCCAAACCGAATTTCTTCATCAATTCTCTAGCATGCTTGCTTTGAGAAACAAATATACCATCCGTAGTTTGCTTGACTTGGAGCTCGAGAAAGAAAGTAAGCTCTCCCATCATGCTCATCTCAAAATGATCTTGCATAACTTTAGAAAATTCCTTGCATAGATATTCATTAGTAGCATCAAAAATGATATCATCAACATATATTTGAACTAAAATAAAATTATTTTTTCTTTTTCGTACAAAAAATGTATTATTAATTTTCCCTTTCGAAAAACTATTTTCAAGAAGAAAACTAGAGAGGCGAGCATACCAAGCTCTAGGAGCTTGTTTTAACCCATATAAAGCTTTTTGAATCCAGTAAACATGATTAGGAAATGAATGATCCATAAAACCGGGGGGTTGCTCAACATATACTTCCTCTTCTATAAAACCATTTAAAAAGGCACTTTTAACATCCATTTGAAATAATTTGAAATTCTTAAAACTTGCAAATACCAAAAACATCCTAATAGATTCTAACCTTGTAACCAGTGCAAATGTTTCATCATAGTCTATGCCCTCCTC